TCGGCCAGCTTGCAATGAAGTTCGGCACCGTAAGTTACTGACCGGGTTTTTCCCGCTTGTATTTATGGACCAAGAGCGTAGCTCAGGGCCTGAGCAGTCAATATGAGGCTTCATAACTTATATTGCAGACCAAGAAAACGAGGTTACGAAGATACTTTTTGATTTTAGTGATATCTCTGGGTAAAACAGACGGGGAAAACTTCAATCCAAACAAACTTTTGAATTTAGCAGGCCGTATAGTGAAACACGGCCTGCCGAATTGGCCAATGATAGCATACATACTTACCGAGAGATAAACTAATGCTACATATGATTCCAACTCACGTTTATTTGATCAATGAGCTCACCTCTTACAATTGTTGAAAGGCGACCTAATACTAAGCTTTGTTATCTTTAGGTATCCTCACCTACCATGCTTACTAGTTGGACCGAAAAAGGACAGATATCTGCCAATGGAGGTCTGCACTATTGTTCCTTGTCAAAGAAAACATTTATCGGAACAACAGACTGCGAACATGATCAGAAGTACTGCTCGCCCTGCGCCTGAGCGACAGCGTGACATTCAACACTGGGTAGGTTCATTTCCCCTTAAAGTCTTTTATTTTGTATTTGAACCTACTAGCATGTGTGCCATCATTAGCGTGTGTAAACCTGCCGGCTTTTCTTCCCTTTTTCTTTTCTTTATATTTTTACTCAAAATAATGCGGGGTGGGGGGTGGAAGGTGTCTTGCCCCTCCTCCCTCCCCTAGATCCGCTAGTGGTCTTGCATTTAGGTATTCATTAATATGTGGGATACTTTTTTTATTATCAAAATTTGTAGTTTGTGAAGCAAAGCATTTGCAAAGTGAAATTTCATTTCGCATATAACAACAAACTAAAAATAAGCGACTGTTATGGAGCCAAACGGAAACAACTACAGTCGCCACAACAACGAACTTCTTTCGCTCTGACGATGGGCTGGCGCTCAAAACGTTAGCTTAAGAAACTCTCTTTAGTGGCCAATTTAAAGGTACGAAATCGCGGTTTAGCGCATACGCAGTGTGATAGCCCATGGATTAAATTAGTCGGGTCAATGCTGAATTATATGTGCCATCGCTTCAGCAAACCTGAACTCGCTGTAAGATTTGAACATCCTTCGATATGACAGTGCTTGTTGAGTTGTTCAATTATTGGACAATATTTTAGCGTATTTTTTAAGCGCTAATTTTCAGGATTTCGCAAAAAATTTTGACCATAAAGGTAAAGGCAGACCAGTACGGACTCCCTTTTGTGGTTGCGTCGCATTATCGAATTTCTGACAGCCAAGTCAGCGTGCTATCACAGGTTCTCAAATTCATCTCAAAACCCGTGACAAACGAATGTAAAATCAGGCCAACTCTTGCGAGATCTGTTCGCAAGATGAATGCGCCTTAAATACACGTTTCATGGAAAAAACAAAGAACCGCATCCGTTTCGTATCAAACTGGATGCCACTGGTTCAGCCTTCTATTGCCCTTGAGAGCTACTTGTAAAATACAGAGATTACTGTAGCCAAGCTATAGAACAATTTGTAAAGCAATGAGGTTTCGGCTCTAAAAGAGTTGAAAAGCAACCCTGCTTTAAACCCACTAAAAAGTAACACAACATCAGTCATCATGAATAAAACAGAAAAAAAAGTATATATTATTTCCTTATCCATCTATATCTTTCTTATGGACTTTTGGTCTAGGGCCAAACCCCAAAAACAAATCTTGAAAAAATCTTCAGAAAAGAGCTCTACGATTAATTGACTTCTCTAACAACTCTGAGCATGCAATTCAATTATTTCTGCGATCAAATATTCTTCCTACTGATATGCTCTATAATAAATCAGGTGGAGTTTTGATGCATGATATTGACCATGATCTTGTACCTTTAAATCTGAAGAACCCACTCACTGGGGTAGCTTCTATTCAGTCTCATAACACCAGAGCTGCGGATGCTGGTTCATTTCGTTTAATTCGTTAACGAATATAACAGAACCAATCCTTCTCAAGGCTTAGAGCTAGAATCTGGAACAATTTCTCTGAGTCTTTGAAATAAAAACCAAAGCAATCATTCAAAAAACACCTTCAGACTGGATTGTTGAAGTTTTTTGTACATGAAGGGGTTTATGCGGCTGATGTATGTAATGCAGTAAATGGTTTGAACCCGGGGGTAACATGTGAAGGTGTAGTCTGATCGTCTGGGTGAGTGTAGTCCTGAGAAGGACTGTTGTCGGTGGTAGTGACTGACGTTTCGACAACCTGTGCGGAAGTCATCATCAGAGTCAAGTGAATGATTGTTGTCAGTAGAATGTTCTTATTCCAGTTCGTGTGAAACGATCAGTTGGTTTTGCCGTGATGTTATTGGCTGTAAGACTCAAGTGACGTAAGTCGGTCGTGATTGGTCTGTTTCGATCTGTCGGTAAAGTTAGGTCGTTCTTTTTCGGTCGTTTGTGATGTTTATGTCGTGAATGAGTCGTTTGTATGGAGCGGGTAGTTGTTGACATCTGTTTAGGGGAGTCTGTTCTAAGTTAGTAAACCAGCTTTCCAGAGTCAGTCGTTGAAAATAGTCAGTGCTGTAGGTTAGGCATTGCGCAGAGTCCCAGTCAATGTTGTGGTTGGTAAGTCGATGGTGTTCAGCAATGTGATTGCTGACATCACCTTTCCTCGTCGCCCGTCTGTGTTCAGTCAGTCTTGTTGTGAGGTTTCTGCCAGTCTCACCGATGTAGGAGGCTTGGCAGTCGGAACAATTGATCTTATAAATCGTTCCCTGTCTGTTCCTCGGTTCGTCTTTGTCTTTAACGTTGGTTAGTAACTGACGTAGTGTGGTGATGGGTTTGTGGGCGACGCGGATATTGAAGGGTAGTAAGATGCGCGAGATGTTTTCAGACATGCCTTTTATGTACGGTATGGTTGCTGTAGTCGTAGGGGTTGCGGTGTCGTTTGTTTCGGTAGTGGTAGTGGGTCGGTGAGTGTTTCGTCGGATGAAGTCGTTGTTGTAGTTGTTCTTCGTAAAAACACGGTGAAGGTATTTGTTCTCGTCGGATAAGCTGTCTGTCGAGTCACATACTAGTTGTGCGCGTCGTGTTAGAGTTCTGATAGTTGTGGCTTTGTGTGATGTAGGGTTGTAGGATGACTCNATATATCTTAGATATATATATATATTTTCCCATATTTACTATTTTATGTTGTACATGTATATATCTTATATATATATATATATATATATATGTTTTCCCATATTTATTATTTTATGTTGTACATGTATATATCTTAACTCTACACCGCCCAGATTAACTCTGCTATTTGTGGTGTGCAGTTACCTCTCTTTTATTAGTTAATAATAATGATAATAATAACAGTAAGCTTCAGTAATTTGATTGCAATCGAGATAGTAATCACTGTAGTTGGTCTATTTTTTATTTTAAAAATCGTCTATATCTCCATTGAGATTCCGCGATTTTGTTGTTGTTGTTGTTGTTGTTGTTTTTTTTTTCAAAAAACTTTTGCGCAAAAATACGATACAAAGAGATGCCTGAACCACCTAGAGCATTGGGGATTACAAGAAAATTCAGAAAGGTTACCGAGTTAAAACTTTCTCGAGCCTCAACGGAGTTTTGTACAAAAGCATCTACGTCCTACAATGAAATGTTTAATCCTTTGATGTCTTTAAAATGCTAATGTTTCTCTTGTGTGATTCAAATCTTACTAGGTCCAAGAAATGACTCGAACCAGTAGTAAATACTTAAAAGATGAGTTCCAAACCTCAATCAGCACAGAGATGGTTAAGGTAGAAGGACGTGTTCTTCCGGCACCCAGAATCAACCTTGGACCACAGGATCAGTCACTGGTTCCTCGTGATGGTTCGTGGGATATGCGCAACAAATCACTGCATGATGGAGCCCGTATTGACAAGTGGGCATTAGCTTGCTTTTGCGGGAGATGTCGGGAAGAACAGCTGAGAAATTTTTCTAGGCAAATGGCCAGTATATCCAGTCGACAGGGTTTGAGAATGTCAGAGCAGCCAGTTGTTGTGGCATACGGCAGGGGCGCCAGAGATGTAAGATATTTTCACATTTAACAGGTGTTCCGTAACAACGAAATGACTGTCGTTGAAAAATCCTCCTAACAAAGCTCAGAAGGATACTGTTGGCTAAAAGGATACGTGGACACGGCTGTTTACCTATTCATTGGGTAGTGATTAGGTGTGAAAGGAATCGAGTGGCCCGACTAACGATCCAAACTTTGATTTTTTTGAAAACATAGAACTTCTAAGTTTTAAAGATCATTTTTTTTCTCTTTCATGTAGCACTGAGATGGCTCGTTTGTGTTGTTTTCGTATTTCACTTGCGCCTTATGCGATCAACGCGACTCTCAAATAATGCCGAAGAGTGTGTTTTAGAAACTTGAAAATGTTATAAGAGTGGGAAATCACATCCCTCATTCGACGAGGAATGGGAAAAATGTCTGATGTTTAACCATCGAACAAGATATACTTTTGTGCATAAGCGTTTATGAGTGTTCCTGTTAAGATCCAGCAAAACGTGATACACGTATGGACCGATCAGAGTTCTTTCATCACGGAACAAGCAGAGTTTTTTAATTTAGCTAGGCTTCCTTAATTCTGTTTTATTTTTTCATTCTTTCAGGTAGAGAGCTTGTTTTCTAAGTGGGTAGTAGATTTTCCAGGCCTACAACTTATTATAGCTGTTCTGCCAGAGAGAGACAAACAAATCTATCCAGAGTTAAAACGTGTGGGCGACAATGTTATTGGAATTCCAACGCAGGGTGTCCAGTCAAAAAATGTACACCGTTGCAACCCTCAGCTTTGCGCCAACCTCGCGTTGAAGATCAACTCCAAACT